GAGTAATTTACAGCTCATTTATTTTCTCCCCTCTCACTAATTAAGAGTGTTTACGACGATTACCACTTTTCTTACACTTCGAAYTTCTTTTGTTACTTTCCGCCACCATAATAATCGTAATTATTTCTTTGACTGCACACACAGGTAGCTAGTTCTTCGTGCTCTCTAAGATTAGTTAGCATTATAAGCCCTACCGACAGACATACATATAATATATATACTTGCATTAGTTACTTTTCGGCTTATTGTCTTTCAACTGGTCAATCACTTAGTGTTTCTGATTGGTCCCCTGTAATTTTGCTGCCTCGTTGCCTCGYTCCAATTAGACTAATTGTTATGTGGCTAATGCGCTAGATCGCCGCCAGGTGACGCTGAGAGTATCAATTTTAGAAGTAATCTGCCTTAAATGCGATCAATTTAAGTTGAGTCGGCTTTGAGGCCCACACGCTTAAGCCGTTGGCAAGTTGAACTCATTTCTATGTTGTTGAGTTAATTTGCAGAATGAGTTGGATACTTCTCAGAAGTATATTCACGTTTTTAGAGTGGATTGGTCTGGATCGGTTGTGGTCTGGATCGGACTTTTTCCAGCAAAGCTATTGGCACTAAAAAACTAAAAAGGAGCAAACTCTGTGGTTTCAGTAGAAGTTAAAAGTTAACGGTTTACTGATCAACTGAATTTTCATATAGACGAAAATTTAGAACCAGTGCGGCTAACTTTACACTGCTTTATCGCCGATTTYGAAATTCGGGTGACACTTAATAATCTTAGAATTTGTAAGAGCGGAGATTAAGTGATTAAAAARTAATGTCAACACTCCAAAGAAATTTACGATCGATTATCGTTTCACAATCGAAAGCAAAAATAAGGTAGCAAAGATGAAAGACATGGCAAAAAGAAACGTCTCTTTAAAATGCCAGTCTTCTAATCTCATCTTCGGCTTCACAGCAGATTCGTCTTAAAATCGCTAGAGTTGTTCAACCAAGGATACACATTGTTATACTAAAGGTAATATGTGACTTCCCTTAGAAACAATTGGTCTAGTAGACTGACATAAAAATATTTCCAATAAGCAAGTGCCGTGTTATTATAAAGCTGCGCAAACAACATATTTTCTATTCAGCCGACCTCTTTTGCTTACTAATTATCACTTCAGAGACCCCTTGCGCTAGAACGAATCCACTCAGATTCATTGGTTAACAGATATAGAGTTGAGGTAGGAAAGAGATACTAACGGTCGGCTTTCCTTCAACATATAAGACTCGGCATTAAGCATACTAAGTCGCTGAAYTTGCAAGCACAGCAGTTTTGATATATGAGGACCGCACTTACTAAAGGTCAGGTCATGAATTTAAGTTTATCATTGAACCACTATCGGCTTGTGCGAGTATTCCACTAAGTACTTTTAGATTTTCCGGTACCTAGAAAATATTTCCTTTTTTCATATCAAATCACAYCAGTCACTAAAAACAGCGTCGGAGACCAATTATAACTTGAACATTGAAAGTACTTATAGAAAACGGTATTAGAAGCACCTAGTCCATATGTAGAGCGCAATTTGTTTGAGTCATTTTATACTATACTAAACATAGGTCCCCGCAAGACTGAAATGTCACTAAAATCCGAGAGCAAACATCAAGAAGCTCTCTACAGCTCTCTCTTACAAAATTCAAATAATGCAACAACTAAAGTCGAATGACTATGCAGAGCAAAGAAAGTTTGTTTAATTAATTATTGAGCATCAACAAATGGATGCTAATTTTTGGAGCAAAATCTTCATCAGCGATGAAGCCCATTTTCACATTAGTGGGTTTGTTAAGCGCCAAAATTGCCTCATTTGGGGTATTGATCACCCACATGAGACTTTTCCAGCGCGTTTACTCACTGGTTTTGATGATCACAATTGGCGCCTTAGATCCTACTCTATATACTTAATGATTCAATAAAAATATTACAATTGAAAGACTATAAACTGTGTTTTCTATTTAACTCTAATCATGCCTTAATTATGGCACATTTTACTTCTAGTCGGCGGTTTAGTAAGGACAAGCACCAAGTTTTGCACTTATTCTGGTATGAAACCGCTCGATCTWTCTAAGCGACATAGCTTCGCTCTATGGACTCTTGAAAAGTTCCAAAAAGACCCGACGTTTCCGTGCCAAGTTTTTTTTTTTTAGAGACAAGACCCATTTCTGGCTCAGTGGGTAAGTAAACAGGCAACATTGCCGCATTTGGAGCAAAGAACAATCGAAAGAGACTCTAGAGCCGGTGAAATCATCGATTCCTATTTATTCTAAAATGTTGCGAATGAGAACGGAACCGTCAATGCCGACATGCARCGATAACCAWCTACTTGATGCCTGAAATTGAATTTCGTTTTTTSGGTGACATTTGGTTTCAACMAGACGGCGCCACTTCCCAAATATCGCATCAATCCGCAATAGATTTATTGAGAGAACASCAAGATCGTGTGATATCACACCGTTGSACGTTCTGTGTGGATACATATGTAAAGTCTAAAGTCTAGGCGGACAATCCCGCTTCGATTCATGCCTYGAAGCAAAACATCACGCGTGCCTGTTACCAGTAGAAATGCTCGAATAAATCATCGAAAAYTGAACTCAAYAGATGGATCAACTGCGACGTAGCCGCGCGCAACATTTGAAAGAGATAATYTTCAAAAAMGAAAWGCCAAARAATATTTTTTC